AGCATAGTTTCCCATAGTATACTCGGTAATTGCAGCAAGATCAGTGTAAACCAAATGCATTTATTATTTGCAATGTAATTCAATATACTAAGAGATGGCGCACACTTTATTTTAATTAGCTGTTTCTTTTAAGGGGTTGCTTGCTCCCACTGTCTTGATAAGAAAATATTGTAGTCATTGCTCAAAACGCTTGTAGCAAATCTAGTTTTAAATTGAAACAATTTATTCCAAAAGCAGTCTACTACTGCAGCAATAATCAATGTGTTTTCTCTTAGCCTGTGCTGGAGCTTTTCAAGGACTATGGTTAATTGCCTGCAACTAAATGATTGCTGGTGCCCTTAAATGCAACTCTTTGGCACTTGTTCATTTGTTGTATTTAACCAAATGCCAGTTTTCCTTAGGTTTTGCCTAGCAATTTGGCTTTACAATTTTCAATATTCAGTCTCAGTCCCTTAAAAGGGGCAGAGTCTACCATTTTAACAAAATAACACAAAAGCTGAACCGATTTTAAAAGGTCTGCACTTTCTCCTTCTGTCCTCAGATGTTGAATTGTGCTGAAATGGAATCTTTTTACTTTTTAAATGCTGCCACTCCAGGCAACTTGAACTAGAGCTGAAAACAGATCACATTTCAAAGGAAAAATGACATTTGCTGGGGCAACACCATTCACATTGCAATGTAAAGATAAAATACAGCAGTAGGCCCAAATGATTTCTCTTAACTGTGACAGAATTTAATCCTTAGTAATTTTGTATAACCCAATGGATAAGCAGTAATAGGTAGTGCATGTATTAATGAATCCATCTGGCTTGGAGCAAAAGAATACAGAGGCTAAATCTGATGCACTATTTTCTTTGAGAGAGTTTACATATGCTATATAAACCAAGTGACTTACTTAAATGGAAAAAAATTAACTTGCACACATGTATAATGTGTAGGCATGTATATTACACTCCTGCATAGAAATAATGTAGTAACTGAGGAGCAGGCACTGTGCACCATGGGGAAAGACACATTTACGTTTTGTTCCTGACCTCTTTATAAGGACATTATCAGAACACCATGCTTCTGCAATGTAATACTACAGAAGTCTCTGGGGAAAAGTCTGAGATGCTCTCAGAATCGCAGGATAAATTAGCTCCTTATAAATTCTGTTTCTTTGGACTTGTTTTTTGGTATTCCTATTATTAGTAAATGACTATCTATGGCCCAGAAGAATTATTCTTGCTTGTTGCTCATTCTCTAAGCATATATAACTTTTCACATGTTTGTGCCCTAAAGGAGTTTTTCAGGTGACACAAGACTGTTTCTGTAATGGCAAAGCTGCATCACCCCTGCTCTCTTTTTTTTATTAGATTTTAAACAAAGCTGTTGATTGGCTAAGTAGCATATTCTAAGCAACGTATATCATTTTTGGAATGGCTCATGACATCTAGCAATGGGAGTAACTCATGTTTGGGTAATTACTTTGCTAAAAATAAGAAGGGCTTATTTTCATACAATTTTTCTCTAATTTATATGTATTCAATTTCTCAAAATTAAAAAGTATATAGAGACCAGTATTATAAATACCTTCTGGAGAAAATGAGAGTTCTGTTTATTGGGTTAATCAGATTATGTTTCAGGCAAAGGTTTTTTGTTATTTCCAAAGCTACTTGACTATATATGAGCACTTAGGTCACGCCACATGCCCACGCCCTGTGTAGTACCTCCAGATGCAAAAGATTTGCTTGGGAGCACCATAAAAGAATCACTCTGCCTCAGTGCTTATCTACAGCAGAGCAGCTTTCCTGACTCCCAGCTTTCTTCCCATACTTCTTCCTGCATAGGCCTTTGGTTAGAGCTTATGTTTTTCTTTTAAAAAATCACAATTTTAAAACATTGAAATATGATTAACATAATATAAAGCATGTAGCTCTAAGTGTTTGGCTAAATGACTTCTGACAAATACAAACACTTGTGTATCCACACCAAAACCTATTTCTGTTACCCCAGAAAGTTTCCTCTTGCCCCATTCCAGTAAATTTTCCCTTCACTCATCACCAAAGAATCTATTTTCTGATTTATGTCAATATGGATTATGTTGGTCTGTTCTTGAGCATAACTTCAATAGAATCATACAGTAGTAGTAAGTAGTATTTTGTGTCTGACTTCCTTTTCCTAACATAATTTTGTGAGAGTCATGCATGTTTTGTCTATCAGTAGTTTATTACTTTTATTGCTGAGTATATTCTATCGTATGAACATACAATATTTTGTTCAACATTTCCTGTTAATGGGACATTTAGGTTGTTTCTATTTATGGCTGCTGTGAATAAATAAGACTACTCTGAGCATTCTCATACAACTCTTCTTGCAGATATCTGCTTATATTTCTCTTGGACAAATACCTAGGAGTGGAATTGCTATTGATATAGTAGATTTATATTTAATTTTATTAGAAATTACCCCAAATTTTACAATGTGGTAATATCATTGGGTACTCTCACTAGCAATGTTTAGGAATGGAAGCTAAGTGTTCTTGATTATTTTTCCATTTCTTTTTTTATGCAAGAAATTTTTGAGTGGTAAATTCCAAGTGTTTAATATACTAAATTAGGACATCTTAAAAGAAGCCATTGTCTAAATGCTTATTTCTCACATTATATCCAGTATATTTAAAATTGTATTTTTCTGATGCATAAATCACCCTGTGGGCATAAGTTAGAATTTTACACAGGCTTCTGTGTATGGTGGAGTTTATTATCTTGAGTGAACAAGACCCAATCTATCCCCACAGCGTTAGCCACTCACCTTTCTGTTCGTATAATAGTGGGAAACCATTATACTGAGGAGCCTTTTGTATTTCATTACTGGTACTTTTGTAGTACTGTCTTGTGTGGTTCTTCCCAATGTTAATCAGATAAGCTGCTGGAGGTATTTTTCGGTGTTTCACACTTCTTACGAATTTACTTAGGCTTGAAAATATTTGATCTCACTTTATTTTTTATTTCTTAAATGCATATAGTTCAATCATTTTAAATAAGATTTTCTTTGATTTCCCATTTAATTTTAATAATTACAGAAAAATACACTTGATTAAACAGTAGTTAATATGTTTTTTATTAAACTACAGAATTAGAAATCAAGGGCTAGATAATAGGAAATATGAATGAGGATTTTTTTATTATTTTTGAGATAGAGTCTTGTTCTGTTGCCCAGGCTGGAGTGCAGTGGCTTGATCTCGGCTCACTGCAACCTCCGCCTCCTGGGTTCAAGCGATTCTCCTGCCTCGGCCTACCAAGTAGCTGGGATTACAGGTGCCCACCACCACGCCTAGCTAATTTTGTATTTTTAGTAGAGATGGGGTTTCACCATGTTGGCCGGCTGGTCTGAAACTCCTGACCTCAGGTGATCCATCTGCCTTGGCCTCCCAAAGTGCTGGGATTACAGGTGTCAGCCACTGTGCCCGGCCTGAGGATTTTTTTTTTCTGTAATTATTACAGGAAGAGTAACATCACATGCAAACACACACATACACAGTGTTCTTGTGAGAAGATGATGTCCATGCTTTTCAGATTATTTCTCACTCAAACTACACCAGTCCCATCATGATTTCACCCCATTTGTGAGAACTCAGGAGTGATTTTGTAATCTGAGGATACTTGTTACCGGCAAAACCATGGATTATTTTAAAGTCCTCAGTCTAAGCTTACAATGACTGTGTTATGAAATTAGATAGTTTATTGGTGGATTCTGAATTACAGAATGGAGAACAACATTATTTTACAGCTTTAATTTTAGAAATGTTTATATTTAATTGTAATTAAGGAAACTAGTGCTTTTCAAGGTAGTTGTCAACTGCAGGGAATGATGACTACCCATCAGTAACAACATTTGGGCTATGATGATTAAGGACAACACTTAGTTAAAGTGAGTTTCAAAATCTGTGCATGATGGCTTACTATTTAAATAGCAGTATTCTTATTTTTGTTACAATGTCCATGGCTCTAAAGAATGAAAGGATAAAAAAATATTTTACCCCCAAGTTTTCCTAAGTTTTGCTCTAATGTAGATATTGATAGAAAAAGGAGAACTTGTATATAGTGAGTGTCAAGAAAATTACTTTTTATGGATAGAATGTAGTAACATGCCTGGTAAAAGGGAAAGCAGATTAAAATTTAAAGAACTAAATGGCTGAATGAAAATAAAACACCACCAACATATTCATATACTATCCCATCCACTGGGAGGCCTACTTCTTAAAGCCAAAAAGCTTTCAGCCTCCAACATTATGGTAGACCACCTTGGTACTTCTTAAGCCCCAAAAGCATTCAGCCTGCAAGATTAGGGTAGATCACCTTGGTACCACTCTATTCAGAGAGATATAGCACAGGAGCCATTGATCCTGGCAGGAGTCAGCAGACAGCATTCATTAGTCTTCCTAACATTCTATGCAACAATCCACAGTGCTCTACTGGAACTGTGCTGTTTGACCCCTCACCTCCCTTTGGCCCCCAGCCCTCAGGTGACAGCTCAAGTGAGAGGGATCAAGATTCGCATTGGGAGAGGGCAAATGTCATCCTGGCTTAAAAACTTCATATCCACAGGAACCAATATTTATTTTATCAACCCCATAAGCATAGCTTCCAGGATCTCTCCAAGGAATATATTTATATAAGAGAGTTATGACACTCTGGTAAGCTCAATATTATAGTTTCCAATCAGATGTTTACAATTCTCTTAGTCCAAATGCAAGCTACCAACCAAGGTTCATTTTTACCACAAGCAATGTTGCTTAGCAACTTAGTTATCACATACCACCTTATCTAGTTACCGAGGAAACAAAGCTAGAAAGTTATCAAAAGATCAAATTCTCATGCAAAAAGAAAAGGGGTTGTGTTAACGCATTACCCACATCTGATCTCATCCCGGAAAATGTGAAATCAAATTGAATTTAATTTATGATTTTGGATGTGAATACTATATAATTCCCCATTGTGTTTTATTTTTCTTTCTAGAGCTAATGTACACAGTGGAACTTGCTGGAGGGCTTGGTGCCATCCTCTTGCTGCTTGTATGTTTGGTGACCATCTACAAGTGTTACAAGATAGAAATCATGCTCTTCTACAGGAATCATTTTGGAGCTGAAGAGTTGGATGGAGGTAGGATGTTATCTTTTTTATTGTTCTTTCTAAATGTTCAAATGTGTTTCCTGTCTTTGTTTTATTGAGGGGAAAATATGTTACCTGCATAATCACTGGCAGCAGCTCATATTCTTTCAATGCTCAGTTTGTAAATTTCTCTTTTGTGCAGAAATACATGTGTGATGCTTTAGAGCCAATACTGTAGGTATTTTCCTCTAAAAGTTGTAAAGCAACACCTACCCATTGTAGAACTGTATTCCAAACTACACTTAACAAATTACAAACACTGATTGCAATGCCATCAGTGTTCATTTTCTCTCACCTTGTAATCAAGACTGAAAGGCCAGTTTTAATTTTTCGTAGGTAAGGAGCCTCGCTTTAATGGTGTTTTCTAGCCCAGTAGTTTGAAGTGAATCTCAATTTGTTCCTGTTTAGACTGATCAGTTATAATAAACTGTACTGTTTTTTAAATTCATCAAGCAGTCTTCAATCTTGTTTATTTAGCTATATTTAAGTAGGCTAATTTTTATTCCTAGTGTAGACCAACAGAAAAATGCACAAGCACATTGATTTCATAATAATGCATGTAATATTTTTACACTAAGTGAAAAAATAAATATTGTTTTGTGGAAATCATAATTAGTATTTGCTTCTGATCATCAATGAATATGTATACAATCTAAGAGGAATTTGGAGTCCTTAAAATTGAGCTCCCTAAACTGCACATTAGACTTTGTTTATTTTCCTTTTTGCTCATTTTTCAAAAACATAAGATAAAGCAGCAATATGGGAAGCATATGCAAACTGACAATGAATAGTACAGATGACAAAGGTTTCTTCACCATTTTTTTGGTTTATTTTTGAGGTGGAGTTTCACTCTTGTTGCCCAAGCTGGAGTGCAATGGTGCAATCTCAGCTCACTGCAATCTGTGTCTCCCAGTTTCAAGCAATTCTCCTCCCTCTGCCTCCATAGTAGCTAGGATTACAAGCGCCCACCACCACACCCAGCTAATTTTTCATATTTTTAGTGGAAACGGGGTTTCTCCATGTTAGTCAGACTAATCTTTAACTCCTGACCTCAGGTGATCCACCGCCTCGTCCTCCCAAAGTGCATGAGCCACCACACCTGCCCTCATATTTATATACTGTTTTTTCAGTGATTGTCAGTTTTGCACTAAATGGTACAAAGGAAAATGAGGCAATTGCCTATGTTGCCATGTTTCCAGGGCCCTCTGGAATAATAAATCCACAAGCAAAACTGTAGTTTTGTAGATCGTAAAGAGAAGTGGTTTATTCAGAATGCCTAACACTCCTCTCAGTTCACTCTTCTCTCCTTCCCATTAGGATGAAGTCTGAGCTGCAGCAAAACTATTTTTTCCTTAAGTTTTAAATTGCCAATTTGCCTATTTGTTTTTAACTTTCTTGCCTATTGATACAAATTATCATTATTATTTTTCCTGCTGCTTTAAGGAAATATAAGGACATTGTCATTGTCAGAACTACTGTTGAATGGGTACGAAGCATAGTGCTAGGCATTCTTAAAGTCATTCTTGCTAAACCTCACAAACATGCTGAGGTCAATATTACAATCTCCATTTTACTGATAAGGCAACTGAGACTTTCGGAGTTTAATAACTTATTCAAGAAGATAACACAAATATTACTGTAAGTGGCCAAGATGGGATTTGAAAATAAGTCTATTCCCAAAGCCCTTATCTCATTGGACACTCTCTATTATTTTTATTTTTTTATTTTAGTATGTTCGGTATAATCTAAAAATCTGCTGTTGTTTGCACAATTAGTACAGTACACAGTATTTGAAACAGCAGATCATCTAAACACGTATCCCCTTTTCTATTAACTCTGTTTTGAATATGTTTATTTTGTGTTTTCAATGATATGAATGATTTTACCAAACCATCAATTTCTAGGGCAGTAATCTGTCATTTTCTGAATGTAGAAAATGGTGGAATATAATGAAAAAAGCACAAATCATATACTTTGATTTTGATTTTTGGTGATTCGAAGTCTCTTTTAGTGAGTCCTGCTAATTGTAAACACTTCAGTGACTGACTTGGATAGCCTTACCAGATTTCATGGCTATTCTGAAGCTGCTGGGTCCTCGGTTTTTTAAAAAGGGTTTTAAGTAAGAAAACAAAGCAGACAAACACTAACAAACAGTATTCTAACAGATGAGAAGATTCTCTCAGAAAGCCAATTTAGTTAATAAATGCTTAGCAATTCTTAGAACTTGCCTCTAGGGCCATCTTAAGCACAATTGGGGGTCTATTAGGGCTTTTCTTGAAATTCCACTGAAAATACACTAGACCCAAAGAAAACCAAGATAACAGACTTGTCACCTGGATAATGTCAGTGTACAAGTTATTTCCCTAAAAGGAGGGAAAAAAGCAAAGACTGTCAAGGCAGTGATTGTTCATATGGTTTTATGGGAAGAAATTATTACTAGAACTGCGATCACATGTTCAGCCTCCCTGTATTAAAGCACACCTGTTCCTGCTGAAATGGTGGACAGGGGCCCACTCTTAACTCCTGTCTCCTGCTGCATCTCACTTAACCTCTAGAACTTCCAGAAACACTTTTATCAGAACCACACAACAGTACTAATAATTATACAGCAAGTTTAAAATCTGTATCTTAACAAAAGTTAGATGTGCATAAACGCAACTTTCTTTAATTCTCTATTGCTTTAAAACCATTCAACTTGGCTCTCGAGTTCCTATTTCTACTGAGAAAAAACTCATAACCTTGCTACTTGAAGATTACTCATTCACTTCTGGTTTGGAACTCAGCTTCTTGTGGGTTAACACTCAGTTGAAAATTGGGATATTCCATTTCCCTTCTTCTCTTTTACTCTTGTTTAAACCTGTTTTTAGGGAACTCATGTATAGCTCTCTGGCAAAGGAGAAAGTTACCTGGTGCATATGCCATCCCTTCCTCACTTGAGATACTACCACCTGGTCTTTGGACACATTGAGCACTGGCTGCTCAAGGCCAAGATCCTTGTCATGGCCTCCCGTCAAAAGTTTCATACACTTGCCCAGATGTTTCTCCCTTGGGAATTTCAGACATTCTTATCTGTATTTCTAGTCTCGTTAGCTCTGCTACACATATACCCACCTTCCCACTTAAAAAAAAAAAATAGTAATCACCTTCTTTATCCTTTGCCTCTTTAATATATAGTCTCCATGCTGAGTGCAGGATTTCTCTATAAAGTTTACAGTTTCCCAAGATTATCCTTGGGAAACTTGACACAAATCCTCACTCTTCTCCGATTCTTCCTCAAACCCTAGAAGTTCTGTTATCCTCTTCTCCTCTCTGGGCCCCTGAGGGCCCCTTCTCAGAAACCCATGCAGGCTCTAAACTTTATTCATAGCCCCTTAGAGCCTCCCAAACATGCTTTCATGGTCAAATAATTATCTATTCTTCCAATAGTGAAAAACTTCTCTGACATAATCAAATCCCATGCTTCCAAGCTCTGCAAGCCTTTTCCTCTTTCAAAGCAGAGATGGCTATCAAACAAAACCCAAGTCTTTGTAAATTTTTGTCTTGGCTTTTAAAAAGTATAATTTAGAGTCAAACCTAAGCAATACCTTCTTTATTCTTGGCTACTATATTTACCTTACCTGAAAGGATAATTCATAAAATACTTTTGGAAGTAAGGTAAGGCAAAGAATGAAAAATAACCAGGGAAAAATGTTTAGTAATATCCTACTATATAGCAATATGATAATAATAGAGTCAATGGCCATTTATTGAATAACAAGTGATGTGTTGACTACTTTATCCATCATCAGAGAATCACACAATTAGGAAGACAGAATTTAAGCTCAGGTATAAATGGCTCTGAATTCCAAGATTTACAGCCATTTTATCAGACTTGAATATGGAGTTTCTGGCATCAGGGACACATTCACTCAGTTCCTTTTGAGTCATTACAAAAGTCATTACCTGGACATATCAGTTCTTTATCAGAAGGATTATGATAGAGAAGCATTCTAATATTTTTTCAAGATAGAACATATTGATGCTTTTCTCTTTCAGTTCATTCACATCACTCCTTGTTCCCCTCTACATAATCTTTTGTTTTATATTGTGTCCCTTGGATTCAGTCCTTAGTATTTCTAATGCCACAACATTCCCACCCCCCATACTCAATCTTCGTCATCCCCAATTTTACACCTCAGTTCCTAGTATCATCCTTTACCTCACTGGCCACACTTTCTTCTCATGTGCCATTTCCAATTAGTCATCAAGATCAGTCAACTGCACTTCTCAAAGATATTTTCCTTACCCTTAATTACAACAGCTTTGTCCAAGCCTCCTACACTACCCTCTTGCTTTCGTTCTCTACTCCTCTATTTCATGCTTCACATTCTAACAGAATTATCTTTCTAAGTACAAAGTTACTGTTCTTTTTTTAATGCCCCCATTTTGCCTGCTAGAACAAGTCTAGACTTAGCTCAGAAAGCAATTGCTATCAAAGGACGACCTACCTTAACTTTTGTAGCATTGCCGCCCTCGTGGAATCTCAACATGCAAAGCTCTAGTTAGAATAAGATGTTAGTCTTTGGAATAACACAGCTATTGAGAAAGAAACTAAGACAGTGCAATAATTCATAATTCTCAGAGTTTTAGGGGAAAAATGAAGGAACCACAATGGTTAAGGGGAGAAGAAGATTAGCTATCCCCCTACCACTTTGATTCCACAATAAAATGAAAGAAAGTTTGGACAAATTCTGCCACATGGATATTTATTAGCACACAGCCTTATCACTCAACTTATAAACCAGAAGAAGTTCCAATTCTCTCGTTCATGTGTGCATTTGTGTGCATGTGCAAATGGGTGTGTGTGCATGCTTTTCAGAAACCTTGCAAGAAATTTTCTCCCAAGGCAAATATGGCAATACTCCTGTAGTAAGACTGGATTCACCTTCTGTTGACATCCAAGAATAGTTTTCATCAAGACCTTTTTGGAATTAAGCCTAGAAGATCTTCTC